ATTGTTGAGTTGTGTGAGTTCTTTGTATATTATGGAGATTAACCCTTTGTCGGATAAATAACTTGTGAATATTTTTTCCCAATTAGTGGGCTGTTTTTTTGTTTCAATCCTGTTTTCCCTTGCCTTGAAGAAGCTCTTTAGTCTGATGAAGTCCCATTTGTTTATTCTTTCTATTGTTTCCCTCATGTGAGGGGTTATGGTGTCCGAAAAGATTCTTTTGAAGCTGATGTCAAAGAGTGTACTGCCGATATTCTCTTCTAGAAGACTTATTGTTTCAGGCCTAATCTTTAGGTCTTTGATCCATTTTGAGTTTATTTTAGTGAATGCTGAAAAAGAATGGTTGATTTTCATTCTTTTACATGTGGCTGTCCAGTTTTCCCAGCACCATTTGTTGAAGAGCCTTTCTTTCCTCCATTGTAGGCCCTCAGCTCCTTTGTCAAAGATTAGCTGTCCAATCATTACTCAATTTTGACAGCTTCATAGTCTTGCTTAGTAATTTTTTTTTGAGGAAGATTAGCCCTGAGCTAACTACTACCAGTCCTCCTCTTTTTTGCTGAGGAAGACTGGCCCTGAGATAACATTGTGCCCATCTTCCTCTACTTTATATGTGGGACACCTACCACAGCATGGCATGCCAAGCAGTGCCATGTGTGCACCTGGGATCTGAACTGGCGAACCCTGGGCCACCGAGAAGCAGAACGTGCGAACTTAACTGCTGCACCACCGGGCTGGCCCCAGTAATGTTAATTGAATACTTATGATGTGTCAGACACAGTGCTAAGGATTTTGCATGGGTTATCCTATTTATCCTCACTCTCACCCTAGGAAGTGGACATTTTAATTATTTTTATCCTACTGATGAAGACACGGAGGCTTCGTGTTAAAGGATAAACTTTTTCAAGAAGTAAAATCATGACTCTCATACAAATATAAAATGAACATGTGTCAAAGATTTCATTGAACTCATTAATTAATGGGAGAACCAGTAAGATGTTACAGCCAGTTCAAAGGAGAATCCGAAGACCGGAGCATGCACACCGGCCTCAGGACGCTGAATCAAATGTGAACTCGTGACTGTCCACAGGCAGTAACCAATTGCCTTTCCACAGGACATATCTGCACGTCTATGGACAGCAACGACTTGTCATACTTCGTTTCCTCCAACATACAGAATTGGAAAATAACCTTCAGCCAATGGAAGGTGGCGGTAACCCAGAGGTTATACTAGCCAGAACATTCAGTTGTCTTTTTTGCCAACTTCTAAGTCTTTCCCAGTTTTTCATGGGATTAGAAAAGGTAAAGGATTAGTTTAAGGTCACACAGTCAGGATGCAAAGCCTGGCAATCCAGAGCCCAGTGTCCCTAACAACTGCTCTGTTGCTAGAAAAGTTTAAGAACTACCAACCAAAAGAGAGATCAACCCCTTTTTGGATGCTTTTCTGCTATTGTTTGATTTCTCTAGGCGCATATTGTTTGTCCATGTCAAAACACTGCACAGCATATGATTAAGCTTTAGGAAACAACAGGAACTCACATTTATTGAGTTCTTAATAAGTGCCAGGTATTGTCTCAAATGCTTGAAACCCAAGGTCTCATTTTATCTTAACAACCATATAAGGGAGGTATTAGTAATCCCCATTTTACAAATGAGCGCTTAGGTTTAGAGAGATGCTCAAAGTTGCAAGGCTAGTGTAGCAGAGCTGTGATTCAACCCTGTCTCTCCTGTGCAAGGCCCATCCCTTCCAGCTGATGAGCCAGTCATTAGCCTAGCAGAAAGAATTTGCATTGTTCCTACCTTCTGGAGGCTGTACCATTTGCTGTGGGGGTGCAGAGTTGTGCTGAGGACTGGGGAATGGTGCCAAAGAAGATAGTATTGAAAAGAAACAATGTTTTTTTTTTTTGCCCTCTGTGCTCAGTGGACCAAAATTTGTCTGCATATGGCAGCTCCAGAGTGACATACACTCTGGGCCCAGCCCTTGGCTCATGACAGTCCTCAGATGTTGAGTAGAACCTTGATTGTGGAATGGAACTGCTCTTTTTTAGCTGTGCACTGGCTGGTTTACCAGGACAGAGTAACTCTCTCAGGTTATTAAGAGTATTCTTTTTTTTTTTCTTAAAGATTGGCACCTGAGCTAACAACTGTTGCCAATCTTCTTTTTTTTTTCTGCTTTATCTCCTCAACCCCCCCCGTACATAGTTGTATATCTTAGTTGCAGGTCCTTCTAGTTGTGGGATGTGAGACACTGCCTCAACGTGGCCTGATGAGCAGCGCCTTGTCAGTGCCCAGGATCTGAACCCCAGGCTGCTGCAGCGGAGCGCGCGAACTTACCACTTGGCCATGGAGCCGGCCCCTAAGAGTATTCTTAAAATACCACAGGCTGATGAATTTACTGCACCTCATCAGCAATAGGCTACTGCCCACCCGCCAAAGAAATCAGCCAGTGTTTCCGGCACTCACTATGCCTTGGTGATACCCCAGGACTGACATTTATGAACCTCCATACAGAATCTTCCTTCAGGTTCTCCAGGCGTGTGCCCTGGACTACCTTCATTGGAATAGCTCGGTTGCTTGAATAAAAGGCAATTTTGGCAACACCACTCAAGTAACTTAATGAATCAGAAACTCGAGGTGGTGAGGGCTGAAAATGTATATTTTCAAGATCCATCCTAGGGGATTTTGGGGACCCCACAAGTATAAATGCTTGGGCTCTGGATTCAGACATGCCTGAATGTGCATACTGGCCACACTGTGTGATGTTGGGCAAGTCAATTCAGCTCTTGAAGACCTGCTTTCCTCATTTGAAAAATGGAGATAATTATAGTTGTGAGGAGTGACTGAGATAATCCATGGAAAGCATTTGGCATCAGGCCTGGCACCGGCTATGTTCCCAGTAAGTGTCAGCTATTAATACATTTCATTGATTCTAAGATGCTCTTTTTTTTTTTTTTTTCATATTAACATCTTTGAAATCAGTCTGCTTCTTAAAATTGATGGCATGTCATGGTCTCAATGGTGGCATTTTTTCCTCCTTAGTGGTCTCTAAAACAATGGTGTATCTTACAATAGATGGTGTCTTAGACTTGGTAAAATATGGTGTATGATGTGAGGGTTCCTGGGGCGCTGTGTTGTGGATCATAAGACATCCCAGAGGGGTGCTGGAATTTTGGGAATCTCAGGTCTGTTTAAGCTGTGTCCATCTTCCCAGTGCCCCCTGCACACACAGGAGTAAGTCAAATGAAAGCTGAATAAACAAGGTGGATTTATTGGGGAAGACCCTCTCTGGAAGGGTCTCCATGATTCCAGGTGTGCTTGCTCGGTCTTCCTTTTTTGGGCCCTGCTCATGTTTCTTGTTGGGAGATTTCAAGCCAGGGCAACTTGGACTGGGTGAGGCATGTGGGGCATAGACATTGCTTACCGCCTTCTCTTCTCCCCATTTCCAAACTTGCCTGGTTGGATTTCTGGGGGCCACTCAGCTTCGACCGCTTTCACTTTTCTTTTCCTTTGGGTCCCTTGATCAGGAGAAGATTTTGAGACTGAACCCAGGGCTCAGAAGGAATCAACACCGTCTCTAATACCACTTTACCCAAGATAGCAAATCAGGAAGAACTCTGCCACCCTCCTCCCAACCATCCCCACCTTGCTCACTGCTCTCGTCTGCTCAGCTGTGTGATCAAAATGGGATTTGGCAGCAAACTAGCGTCAGGGGAAGGGGGAAGCTTTGCTTCATGTTGTGTTTTTAAGGTGATCCTGTACGAAGGAATCGGCTTAATGAGTGGTTTGCTTCCTTTGAAAAAGCACCATCTGGGTTTAGATTTCATATTTACTATTTTAAACCCTTTCAATTAGACCCCTGGGGTTTCCCAGGCCTGCCTGAGGGAGTCTCTCTCCAAGCTTCCCTTCCTTTCTTTCCCAAACCCTGGGACAAATGTTTGTTTTTCTCACATATTCATCACGGCCCACGGCCTTCAGAGAGCACTGAGGAGCCCGGCAGTGACATGGGAACCTGGTGGCTGCCTGGGGAGCGTTTTGCTGAGAACAGCGCTTGGCAGCCTTCCTTCCTGCCCCATGCAGGCATTCACCATGGAAAGCTGGGGGGTGGGAGAGGGGGGTGCATCTTGGCACATTTGCCGAGCCCACTGGAAGCCCTCAATTTTGAGAAGGAAAGGGACTTTCTCATGGGTTTCCCGCTCCAAGAGTATCAATCAGCCTCAGAGAAACACTAGTGAGGCAAGAAGCGGTTTCCTAGCAGAAATAGTTATTACAAAGGCCACCGGCTCGCTTTGTATCTTTTGTTCCCGCTGGCGCCTTGGTCAGAATTTCGAGGCTGCCCAAGTGCAGCCTTTGCTTGCCTGGGTCTGCTGATCCTGGAAATCAGCGGGGAGAGAGGAGGGAAAAAGGTGCTCAGAGGAGCAGAGAAAGCCACTGGGCTCTGGGATATTTGCTGGGGTCCCTCTCCCTCTTTCTGTTGCACGGTGGATAGCTTTCTGCAAATCACTGGACTTCCGGTTCTTGACATGTCAACAGAGAATGATCAGACTACTGTGATGATTGTGAAATTTAAGTGGGGTGTCGTAATCTGCCGGGCACTTAGCTGGTGCTCCTTAAATATGACTCCCTACCTGCATGTCTCCCTTCCTCTTTCCCTGGAGGGGTAAAATCCATAACTAGTGGTGTTTAGATATGATTTTTGAAACGATAGTTGAAGCTGGGGAATGAGGGGTGAAAACAAGGAGGAAGAAAGTAATTCCATCCTCCCCCCTTTACCTGCCCCCCAAAACTTGTTTACACTTTGCATAGGTTATTGGGCTGAAGATGCACAGCTGTGACTGGTTACTGCCTTTCCTTGCCTGAAGCCAGCCTCTGATGGAACCGCCCTGCTGGTCTGTTGTTTTGCTCGGCTGAGCCGTGGGGTGTGGGGTTAAAGGACCCTTGCCAAAGTGAAGAGTTTTATCTGGCTGCCTGACAGCTGTGAGAAATCCTGACTGACAGGAGGGCAGATTCTAAGCAGGGAGCTGGGAGGAAGGCACAATGTGAGGGAAGGAGCCCTAAAGCTGGAGACAGGTCCCCACGCGTCGGTTTTGAGAGGCACTATTGGTTTCAGATAGATTTCATTCTTGTATTGGAAGGAAGTGCTTCTTTCATAAGGGATGGAAAAATATCTACGTCTCTAGTGAAGGGCAGTTGCTCCAGGGTAGAGAATGGTCTACATAAAAATGACGACCCGATGCCAGGTGGAATCACATGGGGTTTATGCTAATAAGAGTAATTGAATTTAGAGCAATAGCTGTGCGCTGTGAATGGCTGTTGGAAGCCAGCGGCTCCTGGGGAAGAGACGTAAAGGGTTTCTAATATGCAAATGAAGCCGGGTATGAAACCCCCAGGATAAAAGAATCCCATGAATCTCATTCATCATTTTATTAACAGGTGGGTTCCTAGACAGGCTTGGAGATTTTATCAGTGTGCAAATTAATTAAGCTGTTAAAAGGTGATGCAGACGCACGTGCAAGGATCTTTGGCCTCCTCTGACAAGGAGCACGCTGCTCTGGGTCTAATTGTCAGAATAATTATTTTCTCCCCTGCAAATTAGTGGCAGCAAATTCAGCGCAGTGCATTGGTGTGCTTTTAATTATCTACGGGATCTGAAGATGGGGGCTATGTGGGATATGTTTTTATGAAATATCTACGTTTGTATATATGTAAAAATACCTATTAATCTTTCCCAGCTAGATTCACTTATTTTAAGCAAATCGTGGTGGCCAGATAGAGATTTGGGGCTTGGGGCTCCAGCAAGGGATATTTACCTTCATGATATGCGGGTTTTGTCTTTATTTGTCTGAGTGATAGGAAAAAAAATTCAGCCTTCCTTAAACCGCACTTGCTGCTTGCAAGCCAGGTTTTTGCGGGCATTGTTGAAATAATCGGCATTAGCAAGACATTTCAAGATAGAGGCGAAGGGCCAAAACAAAGCAAAGAGGAAAATTAATCTATTCTGTGAAAATGAAAACCATTTGGGCTGACTATGAAAGTGGTGTGTTCTAGTGAAAACAGTGCAGGTAGCAAAATCAGAATGTCCTTAATTTATTCAGTGCTTAATTCGATTATTTGGTAAATTGTTGGTGGCACCTAACGGGCTAAACTATGAGCTAGGTCCTGAGAATATGGAGTAAACTATTGTCACACAAACAGCTAGATAAGTACAATTGTATGAAGGGATAGGAAGCTAGCGTGCAGAGTGCAATGAAAGGAGGTCTAAAACAGACCGGTGGAGGTGGTCAGAAGGGGGGTCTTTTAATGAGTGGGAATTAACTAGAGAAAGTGTTTGTGTGTGCGCGCTCGTGTGTGTCCGTGCTCATGTGTGTGCGTGTGTGTGCATGATGGTGGTGCTGGTCTTGATGGAGTGGCAATAGTGTATTGAGATCCTGAGGTGGAAAGGTGATTATTACGTGTGTTAGTTTGCTAAGGCTGCCATAACCAAGTACTGTAGACTGAGTGGCTTAAACAGCTATTTCTGGTCCTACTGTTCGAGGGGCTGAGAACCTGAGAAGAAGGTGTCGGCAGAGTTGGGGGTCTTCTCAGGCCTCTCTCTTTGGCTTGCTGAACCTTCTTCATGTGTCTTCATATGGTCTTTCCTCTGGACATGTCTGTGTCCAAATGTCATCTTCTTGTAAGAATATCAATTACATTGGATTCGGGTCCACCTCATGACCTCGTTTTATCTTAACAACCTTTTGAGAGATCTTATCTCCAGAAACAGTTGCATTCTGAGGTACTTGGGGTTAGGATTTCAACATATGAATTCTGGGGTGGGCACAATTCCACCCATAACACCCATAACATGAAGAAATTGAATACAAATTTCCAAGATTCTAAATTGTATACTGATAGCAAACATAATTCGAGAGAGAGGTTATGGAGTTTAATCCTATAAAAAGTGAATCCTACCCACTATTAATTTTTATGAATGGGTTGCAAACCCCAACTATGTGAGAGAAACACTGGAGAGAGAAGTAGCCTGAGGTAGTTCTCATCTCACTCAGGAAAATGCAACCTTTGATAATTAGATTAATAAAGTGAAAATCCTCTATAAAACTTAAAGGAATAGAGGTGATGGTTGGACAATGTTTCAAATGCACTAAATGCCACTGCATTGTTCACTTTAAAATGGTTAATTTTATGTTTCGTGAATTCACCTCAATAGGAAAACAAAACCCAGGAAAAGTAAAAGTTAAAGGCAGCCTCTGGTAGAATTTTTAAAATGATGAATACAAAGTTTACAACTCTAGAGGAGATTAAAAAATATAGCCCATAAAAGCAAATGAGAGGAAAGAGATACAGCATGAAAACCTTACAGCCCAAACGCACAAAGTGATATAATAGACAAGAGATGACGGTGAGTCAAGGCAATGAATAGAAATGATTTAAGCTCTTTTACGAAAGCTTTTAAATTGTGTTTAAAAATCAGCGAGTTATATTCTAACAAGGAATACACCCAAAATTATATGTGGTGAGATTGAAAATAAAGTAAATAAAATAAGACTAGATAAGCAACATAGATTCAAGGAAAGCTGGGAGAACATGTTAATTTCAAAATAAAAAAGTGATCTTCAAGGCAAAAAGAATTAAGTGGAAAACAAGGAGTCATTTTATATTGATAAGTTGTATATTCTAGAATATACGTGCTTTTTGAGTGTGTGCGATGTCCCGGTTACAATACCTGGCATTTGTCAGGAATTATTTCTGGGAAGTGCTTTGAGGTATGTGTTGTTATCACCTCGATTTTGGAGGAAGGGTAGCTGAGGGTTAGAGAATCTCACAACTGATCAGGGACAGACGAAGAATTGAACCCAGAGCCTGAGGCTTCACCACCACACCCCCGTCACGCACTCAACAGCCAAACGAAATACGTGTCAATCGAACATTGTTTAAAGTACAAGAATGGGCCAGCCCGGTGGCACAGCAGTTAAGTGTGCAGGTTCTGCTTCGGTGGCCCGGGGTTTGCTGGTTCAGATCCTGGGTGCGGACATGGCACTGCTTGTCAAGCCATGCTGTGGTAGGCGTCCCACATATAAAGTAGAGGAAGATTGTCATGGGTGTTAGCTCAGGGCTAGTCTTCCTCGGCAAAAAGAGGAGGATTGGTGGCAGTTAGCTCAGGGCTAATCTTCCTCAAAAAAAAAAAAAAAAAAAAAAAAACCCGAAAAAAATAACAAGGAGAAAATGGTAAAGTTGTGTAATGTTTTTAACAATCTTTATCAACCTTTGTCAGAAGTGATTAAAAGACATAGTGCCACAAAGAAAATATCAACAGATTCCAAATTTATTGTAGAAACTGTACAACCCATGTTCTCTAACCCCGATGCTTTAAAATTGAAACGAAAAATAAAAATTAAACAAAAATATCTATCTAATCACTTAAGAAATAAAACAATATAATCCCCAAACCTCTCTAAAAGTCAAACCCGTTTTCTTAATAGTTTATTTAGAAAATAATAAAAAGAAAATACTTATATTAACTACATGAAATGTAGTTTAAGTTATACTCAGAGGCAAGTGATAACAACGAATGATTCACTTTTTTAAGGAAAGAATAAAAATAAGTGGATGACATACTTATCTCAAGAAAACAGGTAAGGGAGCAAGAAGAGTGCAAGTCAAACATGGAAAAGAAATTATAATTGAACCAGAAATTCTGATTTAGAAAAGAGAGAACCCTCTAGTGTAACTGACTACTAAATCTAAGAGCTGCTTTTCTCATTGAATTTCTGGAAAACTTAAGAAAAAAATAGAAATTTAGAAAAATAAGCAGCTATAATCATAGATTTGGAGTAGATTTTAAAATTATGGGAATAAATACTATGGAAAAAATGGAAAATTGCAATGAAAAGATGTTTTCCTGGGCAAATTCAAAATTGATTTAAGAATAAAAACGTGAAACAAGTCAATGTACATGGAAGAAATATAAAAATATTAAAGAATTTATTCTAAAATTTATCCCAGGGCCAGACAAATTTCTGTTGAGTTATCATAAACTTTTGATGAAGAGCTCATTTCTATGCTGAAAAAATTTTGTAAAGCTGGCTTAATTCTGATCTTAAAATTTCTCATTGATAGCACAAATAGGAAAATTATAAATGCACATGCTGCATGATATGGATGCAAAATTTAAAATCGTGAAGGCTAAATTCAAAACTGGGATTCATATAAAGAATTTAAGGACAGTTTTACATGAGGAAATTTTTCTGATTGGTCATGCCATGAGAGCCCCAAACAACTTGATAATATCAACTGATGCTAAAATATAATTGATAGGGCCGGCCTGATGGCATAGTGGTTAAGTTTGCACTCTCTGCTTCCATGGCCTGGGGTTCACGTGCCTGGATCCCAGGCATGGACCTAGCACAGCTCGTCAAGCCACACTGTGGTGGCATCCCACATAAAACAGAGGAAGATTGGCACAGTTGTTAGCTCAGGGCCAATCTTCCTCACACACACAAAATAAAATATAATTGATAAAACTCAACACATGCACACTTATGATTTTAAAAGCTGATTCCCATAAAATATAAATTATATTTGTATAAGTAAAATATACTAAAATTAATAACTTTGCCATATATAAGCAGCAAAACAATAGTTGGAAGATATGATGGGGGAAAAAGATTATATTAAACTAGCAACAAAAATCATGTCATGCCTAGTAGTAATGCTACCAAGAAGTGTGTGGAAACTTTATGATAACCCCCAAATTTTATTAAGGGATATTAAGAAGATTCAAGTGATGGGGAGATCCATCATTCTGTATGACTTCATGATGTAAAAATGTTAATTTGTCCTAAGTTAAACAGACAGGCTTCATAAATCTCGGTCAAAATTTCCAAGGTAGTTTTTGGGGAAGAATTTGACCAAAGAAGTTTAACGTACATGGGCTGTGGGGGAGACAGAACTAAAAGAAGAATGATGACCAGATATATAAAATGTATAAAGCTGCAATCATCAAACCAGTAGACCTGTTAGTGACAGACTGAGTGGTTAGTCCTTAGACTTGGGTCTACGTAAGAGCTTAGGGTATAAACAAGGGCACACCATACAGTGGGGAATGATGGAACCTTACCAAATGATGTTGGTTCTGTGGGGGAAAATCAAGTCAGAGCCACTCCTTACTTCAAACACTAAAATAAATTCCAGGCGGCGTCAAGATTTCAACGCAAAAATATTCCTTTGCACTAGTAATCAGGCAATGCAGACGAAAATGAAATGTCACTTTCTTTTTCTGTTATATTGGCAAAGTTTAAAAAACAACACTCTTGATTTTGGGAGAGTTTGGTGAGAAGCCCTTCAGACTTCTGAATTTAAAAGAATTCAGCTCTTCTGAACAGCAATGTTTATTAAAGACCTCTAAAAAGTCCAAACTCTTTGACCTAGAGATTCCACGTCTTGGCATCTGTCCCAGGGGAAGATGAGACAGAGAGGGAGAGAATGATGGAGATGAAGATTTACCTACTATAAGTATTTGAGTCATGTTTATAATAAGGTAAGTCCAATAATTGGGAATTTGTTAAATACCATATAGTCCCTATGATAAAACATTATACAGTAAACAAATAAAAATTTTGAAGACTATTTAATGACATAGTAAGATACTTATGATATAATGTTAAATGAAAAGGATGATACACACTATATGTCCATATATATGTGTATGTATGAGTATACATTTATAAAACAGACTCAATTTTATTCAAACCATATAAAAGTATAAAAAATTTCAAAGAAATACAGGAAAATGTTAGCAGTGGCTTTTTGTGTGTGAGATTATAGAGAATTTTATTATGTTTATATTTTTTATTTTTCAAATTTTCTAAATGGAAAATGCAGTAATGAATGGAATGAATAGAAAAAGAATTATTAAGAAAAACCATCCAAAAAAATCCACACCATCTAATGAAAAAAAAAAAAGTTCAAGGTGGGGCTGGCCCTGTGGCCTAGTGGTTAAGTTTGGTGTGCTCTGCTTTGGTGGCCTGGGTTTGGATCCCGGGCAGGGACCTGCACCACTTGTTGGCAGCCATGCTATGGTGGCAACCCCCATACAAAATAAAGGAAGATTGGCACAGATGTTAGCTCAGGGAGAATCTTCCTCAGCGAAGAAAAAAAAAAGAAAAAAGAAAAAAAAGTGGTGTAAGTTATTTCTCCTTCTTTCACTTTTTTTTACTTCATTTTTCTACCTTTAACTTAAAAAAAAAAATTGGGTTCCTGAGCTTTTAAAGACAGGATCTGGAGCTAAAACCCCCACTATGTTTTTCCTTGGCAAGAATTCAAAATCTCCCCACTATGTGGATGTCCACCCTGTTTGGCCACTTCTTCTGAAAGTGGACCCACTTCTCCCCACTCTGTTATTCTACAGCTCTACTGGTGGAAAGTTCTTTCTCACGTGAGCTGACTACTCCCTGCTATCTCCATACATCAGACCTGGCCTATGGGAACCCACAGAACAAACCTAATCCTTCTCCTTTTTCCTATTACAACCTTTGTGTTATAGAAAGTACAAATAAATGCAAGGAAGAAAATAAAAACCCCTTGGAATTCAGCCGTCTAAATATTACTCATGTTAGCATCTCTCAGTGTGCACTCTTTAATGCCCATTCTCTGTGCAGTTCCACACACACTTTTCAAAAAACAAAATAAAGTAATGCTGAGCATGTTTCTTTTTAAATTGTATTTCACTTGACAATATATAGACTTCTCCCACTAACCTTCAGTTCTCTCAGTGAAAACCTGAAGTTCTACACAAAAATGCTAATGAGGAGTATATTTCTCATTATTTATTTATTTTTGAGGAAGATTGGCCCTGAGCTAACATCTGTGCCCATCTTCCTCTGCTTTATATGTGGGACGCCTATCACAGCATGGCTTGCCAAGCGGTGCCGTGTCCGCATCTGGGATCTGAACCGGAGAACCCCGGGCCGCCGAGAAGTGGAACTTGCAAACTTAACCGCTGTGCCACTGGGCCGGTCCCTCTTATTATTTTAAGTGTGAAACGTTATAACGGGTTACAGATCTACTCCAAACTCCAAACTTACGTCATAGGGCTGTTGGGAAGATTGATACTAACTGTAAAGTGCTAAGCTCGGGGAGTTGTACTGGAGAAAGCTCAGCACTCGTTGGCTGGTATGGTTTCTCCTTGCTGCATAGACTTCTAATGGAGAATGAGGCAAAATGCTTGCTCTAACCATCTATGGGGAGAGTCATGGCTTCTTGGAGACCATGTTAATTGTCTCTGTCACTAAGGGTCTGTGTATGGGGGAGGCCTTAGATGGTCCCTCCTCTGGTGACACGTCTTCCCATGGCCTCAGTCTTGGACCCTAGGCTGCCTCTCAGACATTCACAGGTAAGTTTCCTCTCAAAGGATCACAGCTTCTGGGCCCAGGGCAGGTAAGTCTAGGAGAAATCATATTTACCCAGTGTCTTGGTATTACTCTCTGTTACTGATACCTACTGAATAAGGAGTGCTGCTGATAAGGGATGAGTTACAGGAGGTGAACGTTGCTGCTTGTCTATTTCTGCAGTCTTGTGGGTTTCGAAATTCTGCTTGTAAAGTCCTGCTGTGACGTTCAGTCGGAAAGTCAAGAAGAGCAAGAACCAGGCCTAGTTGGCTGGCAGGGAAGCCAGGTTCCCATGGGTTTTTATAACACGGGCTGATAAACAGTGCTGGTAGGCACCTGGGCCTCCTGGTGAAACACGCTTATTGTGTAAGCCCGTGTGGGTGGTGGTGTGCTGTGAGAAGCAGCAGCTGTGGTGTGCACGCATGGTGTGCTCTTCCTTGCCAGATGTGAGTCATTGCCTGGAACCATCCGAAGCTACCCAGGGGTGCAAAAGGCACAGACCATGGCACATGCCCCCCTAAGTCATTGCCACCAGCTGAGACCCTACGAATGTAAAGAAGGGAGAGTCTGTGGGAGGGCACAGCTGGTGTTCCATCAGGAAGTCACTTGTTGGTTTAAACATCAAAAGACACGTCACTCTCCTAGGAACACACGTGGTCAATGCTTTGGGTGGAATCTAACTTGATCTTTAAGATGAAGTTGCAAACTCATGCCAAGACTTCAAAGTAAAGAATCATCTCTGTAGCTCTGGTTGGCCCCCCTGCATTCTGTGTGTTGTGTCTACCTTGCTTCAGAGACTCGGCTTAAAGAGAGATGACTCTGCATCTGGTGGCTGGATAGGACCCTGTGCTGCCATAAGTGAGTCTGTTGGTCTCTGGACAGCCCTGTTCTCAGTGTCCCAGCCAAATTTGCAGAGAGGCCTCTCTTGGCAGTGATTTCTAACATCTCAGGGCCTATCAGAACAATACTGAAGCTGAGGGCCACCAAGAGCTTGCTAGGTGCTAGTGAACATTTACGTGAATGACAGACAGCGTGGTGGCGACACAGAATTCAGTCTCAGGCTGCCTGGGTTCAAATCCTGTTTACCATTGGGTGATGGTGGGCATGTCATGCCTCTGTTTCCTTTTCTGTGCAACGTGTGTGTGTGTGTGTGTGTGTGTGTGTGATAGGAGTAACTACCTCACAGAGTTGTCATGAGGCTTAACTGAGATAAACATGGAGAATGCTCAGAATACTGACCACGGTGCTGTAAACACTAAATGTCCTAGTGCCTCATTCTAGCAACAATATGTGGGGACACCAGTGCCGTGACTCTCATGCAGTGGGTGAAGCTGAGTTGTGGGGTGCTTATTCCCTGATATAGTCAGGTTTCTTCCAGGGGCTTGAATCAAAATTTAAACCCAAGCGATCGAATGCTGCGTGAACTTTAAGCCCCAGTGCTCTCTGGTTTGACTGAATTGAACTGATTTAAATTTTGTCACTCTTTCCATTATGATTGATGTTGAAACTCAGTGTTTCTTACTACAAATTAAGACCTTTGTTGCTTATCTCGCCCCTTGTGGATTAAAAAAAGGAAGTCTCTTTAGGATGGCTATTTTTCCATCCTGTATTTTATTCTCTTGGAGAATTTAGTAAAGTTTGACCTCAATATTTCCTGCTTCTGGTACAGAGGGTTTTAATTCTCTGCCTCCAGTCTTGGAAGTGGTACCTTTCTCCACTCCTGGTTACCTTGCCTGCCTCCCCATCGTTCATTACTTTCAGAGGAGAAATATCTCCCAGGAGTCAATCTACTTGCTTGGTACCTAGGGTACCCATCCCCATGGAAATGCAACAAAGAGGGATTCCCCAGCAAGGTAGAGAGGGTTTGGCTTGCTGCCTGATTTTCGTCTGGTTCAATCTGATTTCCTCAGCCTTGGGGAAGGGGGCTAGTCCTTGTTCATTTCATTGTGGTTTTGGTTTTCCCTCCAATCGCAAGACCCTTGGTTGTGTTTCCATGTACCTGAGCTCTCTGTATGAACCCCAACTCGCCACACTGCTGCGCTGATGGTGAGCACTGAGGAAGGCACCTCACTAAGTGACCACGAGGCCTTGGGCACGCTAGCTTTCTGAGCTCCTGCAGCACATTGCCGAGTGCCTTGTATTCAGTGGGAGTAAGTTACGATCTCCAGGGGTTACTCCAAAGTTACTCCAGCTGGCAAAAAAAGAGATGGCTATTTTTCCATCTTGCAAATATCCCCAGTTGCAACTTATTTATAGATTCTTCCTTCTGCAGCTGGAAAATTGCTACTTGTTTTTGGCTGCTGTCACCGAGATGATAGCTACCCCAGAATGGATTAAATCTGCCAGTTCAGCACAGACCAGTCTGGTCAGCGATCAGTGAGGAGAGGCCCTTGAGAAGTCCATGACAATGACAGGTGAGCAAGTAGATGGGAAAGAGCCAAGAGCGCTGGCCTCAAAGTCGGGGATCCCGGCTCCAGGTCTGTGCCAGTCAACCTGTTAGAAGTGTGTTTTTGGTCAGGTCCCTTCACTGCTTTGGGCCTAGGCTGAATGTGGTCTTTAGAAAGATCCTTTCCAGCTGTAAAATGCCATGATTCTATGATTTGGAAAGAGCCATACTTTCTAGTTTCTTCTGGAAGCATGGGCAATGGCTTTTTAGCAGAACTGGGTTGTAATCCAACTTAGTCTCCCTCTGATTTTGCAGCTTTAGGCTCTTGATCCTTCATCTTTCATGTGGGGATAATAATAATGCTTATTTTGCAGAACTGTTGGAAGAACAGTGCTCGTGTACAAAGAGAATCTTGCACAGCCTCAGCACGTGGTAGTGCATCAAGGTCTCTTGCTCCAGCGTGGTGTCCATCCCGCAACTCACTTGTACCTACAAATGCCCAGCAGCACGGAAGCAGAGTGGCCACTGGTAATAGAGACAAAGGCAACTTTAGAAAGAAAAAGCAAAGATTGTCCTCAGCGCCCTCCCATGGGGCTCCTTAATCAGAGTTGGCCACTTTCTCCCACGTGTGCTGTCATTGGGTAATTAGTGTCCCGAGCAGAGCCAAGTCCAGGGCACAGTGAGTGCCTTTGTTTTAGTCTTGTAAATTTCAACACAGGTTGGAAGGAACAAAACCCCAATTCATTTGGGAGATACTCCAAATCTGATTCTCTGCACCAAGCCATGGGAGAGAGACTACCTGGCAGTCCTGGGAGTGCATGGTGAGCTGGGCAGCTCAGTGGGTAGAAGGATCTTGAGGATGCTAAGAGATGTGGAAGGGTAGCGTTTTGCCTGTGATTAGCAGAAGCTGGCCAGTGTCAGTGCCCTGGTGATGTGGTCTGTCCAGGGAAATGCTCAGAAAGCCTGTTCTAGAATAGACCCAAGGGCAGTGCTGTTTTTTGTTCCTCTTAACTCTTGGTAGCCTGATATCTTCCAATTTGAATGCTTTGAGAGCCACTGAAGTAAATTTTATAAACCCTTCACGTCTATTTCTGATGTCACTCATGGGAGGTACAGAGCCAAGTCTTGATGGATGTGCAGGAATTTGCAAGGTGAAAGAGCCAGCTAAAGAGAGTGTAATTGGTAAAGAGAGTAGCATATGAGAAATTCAGAAGTTTGAGACATATGAGGTGACACATATGAGGATAAGGTGGCACCTACGAGCATGGCATTCTCCATCCCCATGGATGGAGTGCTTAGGTATGACTGGATCATAGATTGCAAAAGGGGAGATGAAGAGAGAAGAAATCACTCTCAGTTGATGTTGTTGGCTGGATTTCAAGTTAGGAGTTTCTGCTCTAGATGAAGCTGGATAACTGGGGTCACAAATGCCTGGGATGCCTGGCAAGCTGGTGAGTTGGTCCATTAGAAGGATATTTGCAAGAGGGTTAAGGGGCCTCCTAGGAGAGAACTTACCTTAAAGGACGAGGGAGGCAGAAATGACAAATGTGATTAGAAAAAAAATTCAGTTATTGAGTTCAGGAGGAGGCGATGCTGAGCACAGTGTAGAGTTTGTCATTCCGATTATCTCCTGGGCTAGACCTGCAAGGAATGCTGTGTTCGATGAACATGGAGGACCTGGGTTGGGTCAGGGGCAAGGGGATATGATAAATAAAATATGAAACTTATCTCTTAGCAAATCCTGATGCCATACTGGGGGCCAAGCAGCACTGCTTTGCTGTCTTCCCAGTAGGGCAGAGAACATTCTTCCAGCATTGCAAGTGGCCACTGAACATGGGCTCTGGAGGGAGGTAGACATGCCTGGCAGGCGCAGAACTGGTGGCAATGGCTGGCAGACCCGTGGAACCCAGCAGGAGAAAGTTGCAGATGGCACTGGTAACTCACTGAACTAGTTTATAATCTCATGTGAGTTGCTTTCTGGAGACTTCTAGAATTATTTGGGGACAGATTTTCAGAGAAATGATTCTGTATTTGCACATGGGGAAAAAAGACAGCAAAAGACAGATTACACTTGATTTAGATGTTTTAGGAATTCCTTTTCTGTAGTGCAGCGTAGTAGACATTGTTGATTGTTTCCTTAGCACCCATTTCCCATTTCCTCAATTCTAACAAAATCCTAATTTTGATGGGGTATCCTCTCTTCCTCCATGCATGGAAGATAAGCCCATTCGTAGGGATTAGGGGTGAGCCTGGTTGGTTAAAGAGTTACTCCATTCCTCTCCCCAGTGACTGCCTAGGGTTGGCCATATAACCCAATTTGGTCTAATAATATATGGAGAGAGGCTAACTATGGGCATTTAAAAAATTTATCTGCATTCTTCCAGACAATGTCTAGAAGGAACTCGGTCTCTTTATCTCTGGAAATGGTCATGCAACAATGGAGGAGAGCCAGACCGGCTGCAACTTTCTTGCTATCCAGCTAGGATGAAAGAGGGACGGGCCAGAGAAGGATTGAGAAATGTATGCAGAACCGCTGAATTAAGCCAACTCTAAAAACCGCCATTCTGTTGGAATTTCCAGGTATATGAGTCAATAAATTTCTTTATTGTTTATGGTAGTTTGACTTGAGTTTTCTGTTACTTGAATCTGAAAAGGTGTCCTGATAAAAGTGGTTTGGGAGATCTCTTTAAGTTTCCAGAAGGAAAGATGTCCTGGGCCAGCAGATGGACAGTTTCTTCTAGTTAAGGCTGTTTACACTCTAACTGAGGAGATCACTCCCTAATCACTTTTATGTCGGAGGCATCGTTTCTCCCATGAGAGCTTGGCATGGATAGGTCTAATGTTTGGGATAATCAGCTGTCTCTGGCCATATCCATTGAGAAATGGGGTCTACGTTCCTTCTCTTTGAATCTGGGTTGACTTTATTGACTTGGTTTTAACCAACAGTACGCAGTAGAAATGATGCTGTATGACTTCTAAGGTTAGGTCAGAAAAGGCTATGCAGCTTCCACCTGGTTCTTGGGATGCTTGCTCTGGGGGGAAGCAGCCAACATGTAAGAAGTCCAGTTACCTGAGCTTGCCATGCTGGAGAAGCCACAGGTAGTCGCTTTGTTTGACAGCCCCAACTGAGCTCCCAGTGGACAGCCTGCATCAATTGCTAGCCACGGGAGTGAGCCATCTTACATATTCAGCCCAGTGAAGCCAGACTGAAGTCAGATGATTGAAGCCCCAACACACGTCTGGCTGCAACAGCATGACAGACCCCAAACGAGAACTGCCTAGCTGAGTTTTTCCTGAATTCCAGAAAACTGTGAACGAAATAAAATGGTTATTTTAAGCCACTAAATTGTGAGATAATTCGTTACAGCAAAAGTAACCATAATGCCAAGTTGTTCATTGTTTGCTTTTGGTTTGTACTATTAGCTTCACAATAATTATGTGGAAAGGATTTCTTTTCTCTTTCTCAGAGGTAGAAATACAGAGCATTAGTCTCAGAATTCCATCTTATTCGAGGCTCTTTGGGTTGCAAGTTATAGTAAAACATGCAAACTAGCTTAAGTAAGAAACAAGAATGTATTGGAAGGACTCAAAGAGTCTCAAGCGTCCCAAAAGCAGGTCGTCAGTCTGTCTCTCACATCCTTGTGTAGTCTCCTGTGTTGTACCAGGATTGGTCTGTGTGACCAATGGAACATGGCAGAATGGATGGTATGGTATGTCATTCTAAGATTAGGTCATAAAATACCACAGCTTTTGTTTTAGGTTCTCTCTCTTTCTCTTGGATCACCCACCTGAAGGGAAGCCATGTCATCAGCAACCCCCTGGAGAAGACTGTGTGAGGAACTGAGGCCTCCTGCCAATACCAATGTGAGTGTGCCATCTTGGAAGTAAGTCCTTCAGCCCCAGTCGAGCCTTCAGATGACTGTAGCCTAGGCCGATGTTTTGACTATAACCTCACAAGAGACCCTAAGAAAGAGAAATCTGCCACCTTGTCCTAGGTGGTGTTCCCTAGCACAGTCTTGTCCCCCCTTCCCCTTATACATACTTCAGATGGAGAATTTCACTGTGGGCAAGTCTGTGTTCACAATCCACGTGTGCAATATATATTGTTACACGTTTTGTATTTTGTCTGTGTTTTTTAAGGGGGAAAACCATAGAAAGGAAAGCATTTATTAGTTCTTTTTATGTCTCAAGCAGTATGATAGCTACTTTATATACTTTAATAGAGAGAAAAAGCAAGTAAACCCCAAGCCTACTGATAGTGCTTCTATCATCTAATGGGGAGGTGGTGACAGAATTCGTATCAGTGGGACACTGAATATACATGTAGAGGTTGCTGGGGTAGGGAGAAAGTATGTTTAAGCTCTGATAGTTGTTCTGGGCTTCTAAGGGCGAGATACAGAGCGAGGGGCCTTTTCTTTAGCAAAAACATGGAATCTATGACCATGGAAATGTAGGCATCAAGGTGGTAAACTAGATTGTTCCTGTATAATATGGAAATGAAAAGGAAGTGGGGAGATGAGTGAGATCAAAGTTTGAGAAGAGCTGGAATTTGGAGCCGAAGTGACCAAGAGAATGCAAGGCCCTGGGAATGTTGAAGAGGACATGTGGTTGAACTTGAACCAATGCTATTTAAATCTCAGAGGGCGGGGTGACCTTGTTTGACATCAGTTGGGTTTCAATTATACTTTTGGAATAAACATGATTTCCATTTTACAGATGAAGGAACCAAAGCATAGAGATGCTCATAAATTAGCCCAGGTTGCATAGCCCCTAAGAGGTGGCCTTGGGCTGGAGCTCCAATTGTAGTGTCGGCAAAGTGGAGGACTTTGTAGATCTACAAACCCACAGTGTCAAAGACTCCTCTCACTACCAGGGGTCGGCAAAGGCAAACTTCTTCTGCGAAGGGCCAGAGAGTAAATGTTTTAGGCTTTGCAGACCGTGCCATGTTTGCTGCACGTACTCAACTCTGCTGCTATGTTGTGGGAGCAGCCTTAGACCATACAGAAATACACTGTGTGCCTGTGTTCTAGTCAAACTTTATTTGTGGGCACCCAAATTGGAATTTTATATAATTTTCATGTGTTATGAAATATTAGTCTTAAAAAGCACCTATTTTTCCAACTCTTAAAAAGTGTGAAACCATTCTTAGCTCGTGAGCCGTACAAAACCAGGCAGCAGGTTGGATTTGGCCCCTGGACCAGAGTGTGCGGCCCCCTACAGTACCTGGTTCAGTTGTTGCTCGGATGTGTGTAAGTGAACAAATGAGTCAGCGAGAGAGCTTTGTAGAGGGCAGAGGAGTGGTGAGTGTTGACGGGATCAAGCGGGGTCCTCAGGGTCTTTGCTCACCAGGAGATGTTTGCTGAAACTTACAGGAGGCTCTTCCGAGACAGATTGGTGGGTTACAGTCCCCGCTCCTCTTAACCTATAGCCCTAAATGCAGCATCCGTTTCCTTGGACAAGTCAAAGCCCTCTCGGCCTCACTTGCCTTGTGTGTGTATGGGTGTGTGTATGTGTACGTGTGTGCATATACGTGTGCATGTATGTGTATATATGCACACGTGTGTATATGTGTATGTACGTGTGTGTGTGTGTGTATGGGTATGCGTGTATGTGTATGTTTAATGAGAAGGTCTGACTAGTTATCTTCACGGTCACTCCTGGCTCCAAAACTCTCAGATTCTTTCATAAAAACCTGGCCGATTTTAGGGCACGGTTTTCCTTGCAGACTCTTTCCCTTAGCTCTCTTCTCTTCACTCCAGTCCTGTGAACATCTTCCCCCCTCTGACCCTGCTTCCTCTCTGATACTCTATTTCAAGGCTAGTGGGATTATCATACCCAAAAGCACCCCAGGAAAAAACAGCTGGAATATCCAGGAAAAGAAAACAAGCCGGGGAGAGGTGAAGGGGTGTGTCATTGCCGTTCTTTGTGTGGACTCGTGGAGCTGCCTGTTTTAACCATCTCAGGATGGCAGGGATTTTTCTGTTTGTTTGAGAGGCCAATGTAATACCCTCGTGTTTTCCTTTTTTAGGAAAAAATAAGAAGAATTCATTTTCATCGGGATTAGCGAAATCTTTCTTCTTCTTTTATGTTGGCAACGTGAGGTCTTAGCGGCTCTCTGATCCTGTGCTGAATAAAAAATATAGCATTACAATGCAGCACGGAGGCCGGGGGCTTGAACCCAATTTGGATTACCGTGCACAGCAGTGGGCGGGCATTCTGTGACTAATGGGGGGTCTTTGGAGCGGGTGCTGAGGGACAGTCCCTGGGGACCGAGCCGCACACACCCTGCCTATTGTTCCACCCTGATTTGAGGCCAGTCACCCAGAAGCTGAACGCACAGTCAGACACTCGGAATGGTGGGCTTGCATCAAGCTGACAGCCAGGTGGATACGAGGCACCACCATGCAGAAGCAGGACTGGTGCCGAGCTGGGAAACTTGCGAAAGTTGAGATGTTGTTAAAGCATTGAACTTAGCCAAGTCGCAGTTTCTCTATTGATAAGCTTGGGTGAATTATTTTTATCCCAAGGCCTCATCAGTCTAGAGGTACAGAAGGGATCATGGTGACTGCTATGGTAAATACTGCCGGGTCGAAGGAAACGTGCTGCCAGGGGGCTGGGGCTTCCGCTGAGACTCTGAGGGCAGGGGGAATGAACAAGTGGAGAGAAAGAAAAGCAAGGTCTTGGCTGGGGATACAGGAACCATCATCTCTCTGAGAGCCAGTGTTCTTCAGATACTAGCAGCTCCCTGTGTCAGAATTGTTTGGAGCAATAGTTTATCTGGGGTGCTAGTTTAAAAACACCCCCACGACAGATAATAAGGCATCAGATGGAGATAGTAATTCCTTCCTTGTGGGTGCTGTGAGGGTCAGAGGGCAGTGGATCTGGGGATGGAGATCCATGAAGATGGGGATGGTGATGCTGGCTCTTTCCTTAGTGTTTTCTTAAGGGGCTTCTACTCTCTTCATTTCCAGTTCTACTTGCTTTCTTAAGATCTGAAAGAAATCTTAGCATATTGCTTTGCTTACCTACTCTAAGACCTCGATTACTCCCAACAGAACTTCAGATTCCCATGACCTACAACCAGGAGCCTCCTGACTTTAGCCCAAACTGCTCTCCTGGCTCTATTTCTTATTTCTCTGCTATGGAATCACGCTATCAGGGAAACAAATTCCGGCTGTTGCCCTCATAATAATACCTAATATTTTCTTTTTCCCTTCTCTATATCTCTGTGCCCTCATCTACGCATCATAGTTTATGATGATTAAATGGGATAATCCACGGGAAGTGCTCAGGACAGTGTCTGGCTCATGGTAAACACCCCCTTGTATGTGTTAAAAGTTATTCCCAACATCTCTGCAACTTTTTTTGAAAAGAAGATCTGCCCCTGATTTCTGCCTTTGTTTGTCAATAGATGCAAGCATATTTTCTCTAAATGGATGCAGGTAGACAATGGCTGTGCAGATCTCTTTCATTCTGAAATCCTGGGAATTAATTTGACAATTCAGTTCATTTCATTAATATTTATTTTGTGTTTTCTTCCATGCTCAGTGCACTGTGTGAATGGCTGAAAGTTAAATGTGAATGCTCGGATGCTCTCCAGGATGAGAACAATGGCTTCTGTTCATTCTTCAAGATGGAACAAAAGTTTTCCTTCTTGCCCAATAACTCCATCTCCAACTGTCCTGCTTGCTTGTACAGCTCATAGTTAGGACGACCCAGTTGAGAACTTAATGGCTGCCTACCTGTAGCCCTAGGATAATCTGGGATGGCCCTTATGCTTGACGGCAAGCATCTGGCAGGCTCTGTTCAGGACATAGCGAGGTATACAGGTGAAATTATTGCTAAGTTTATGGATGAATTTTCCATTACTATGGAATTAATTCTTTGGATTTGGGGGTCTGGATAAGCTTCTGATGTTGTCGTCCGATGTTTTCATCTGATGTTCAATGGATGCTTCTAGGGGCTGCCTTCTGTCCTTTTAGGAGATGTTAATGCTGTGTGTCATGCACACAAATAGAAGAATTTGAAGTAAAATATTTTGTTTATGAGGTTACTGTAAATCAGACTTCACATACCTGTGTTTATGATTTTAATTTTTATTTCTTGTGGAAATATTGGAACAATGTTAAAATGGACATTAAGGTAAAAAACGTGCAATCCTATTACTCTAAACAAATCTACAGATTTCAATTTTCTGTGACTCATTCTAGTTCCTTTTAGTATGCATATATATGATTTTTGCATAGCTAGAGCCAGAATAGTAATTCCAATAAAAAGTAAAGCCATTGTTTATGAGTACTTAACATTTGTCAGGCAAAAACGGTTCACATGTGTTTTTGAATCCTCACACCAACTCTACGAGATAGGTAAGTTATTATTCCCATTTTAAAGATGAGGAAGCTAAGTGTTAGGGAGGTTGACCCACTCCGAGTCACACACCATGTGAGTTGGGGTGACATATTTGACTCCTTCGTCTTACTGTGTTAAACAGGACCAGCCAGGCTGGGAAGCAACATTGACATGGCTGGTGGCTCAAATCCCATACAGACAAGTGGTGAGGGACCTCTGCTCCACGCTGGCAGTCCCTGGACCCACTTCCCAGGCACCGAGGGTGAGGAGTGGAGCCCGTTGGTCCCCACGCAGTGCAGGACAGGCAGAGGAAAAACCAGACTGTCCTTGGAGGTCAGATCATAGCCTGGAAGGGTTTCCCACATTCGTTCCAAACGTTTGTGAGATACTGGGGTCGATTTGACTTACCTGACTCTGCTGAAGAGCAGGCGAGCTCCAGCCTGTAGGATGCCCGAAGCAAGCACAGTGCCATGAGCCCATCCTTGCCCTGGTCCAAACGCGAGCAGTCCTTGTGA